TCGGGGACCTCTGATAGGTGCAGGAAAACAAGGCCCAGGAGTCCTGCTCCTGCCTTCCCAGTTCGAGCCTCCTCTACCACTCTCCCTGTCCCCTGCTAGAAGCTTCCCACGCATCGTAGGTTAAAGAACACCATCTCCTACCTCAAGCTCTTTGGGGGTCTGCTCTCCATGTGGGATCTGCTTGCTCCCCATTTTCACTGCCACCTCCTTTCTTCCATGGCTCTCTCCACTCTCCCCTGTAGGGTACTTGGTACAATTGCTATTAAATCAGCAAGTCTAGCACAGTTTCCATGGTTCATCCCTGCGCCACACCCCGGCCTCCATGTCTGTTGTGCTTGCTGCTCTGTCCCAAGAGCCCAGCACAGGGTCTGCACCTGGAAGGCTTTCAGGAAATGGATGGCGCATGCGTGCTGTTGGATGGCGCATGCGTGCTGTTGGGCCCTGATGAAGGTGCCATTTGGCGTGGTGTTCACCTGGTGCAGTGCCGTTTGGCGTGGGATGTGCTCAGGGTTTCAGTTCCCTTATGCTCACCATTTTGGTACCCACCAACTGAAGAAGGAAGTAGTCATTCTGGGACACCTTTGTCCCTCTGAAGAGAGCACATCAGAAGCAGAACTCACATCCATCAGGGTCAGAGTCCCTGACTTCGGCACGCCTCTATTTCCCAGAATGCTTTTCTAGAATGAGAATCAGCCCACTTACGTCCCAGGAAGGATCCCCAGTGACCTCCATGTTCCTTACCTACTGTAAGTGATGTTGGAGATACACACCATTGAGCCTTAACTGACCCCCACCCCACCCCCACTCTCTGGCTTCCTGTAGCCAAGCCTGGCTTCCCACAAGGTCATGCTGGTGGTGAAAGCACATGTTTCACAGAAGGGAAAACTCTCCTTACCACAGAGGACATAGCACCGAGTCCAACTTCATCCAGTGGGACTGGTCCAGCCTGTCCCCCAGCCCATGTTTTCCTAGTCATTTTTTCTAGATTAGTAGCAATGAGGTAGAAGCTGGGGCATCAGACCAACCTAGATTTACCCCCCCCCCCCTGCTACTTTCCAGACATAGTGAAATGGTGTTCCGGACATCACCCCAATTCAGTTCCTGAGGAGACAGTACAGACAGTGAATTACCCCAGACTGCCCCAGGAGGAACATTTATTTTCACAAGGCCATGAAAACTCAGAACTCTGAACAAAAAGCATTAGCTATGGGCAGGTAAGGAAAAATGAGGGGTTTGGAGGATGGAAAAACTACCTCCAAGAACCAGGAGATGACGGGGGACAAGCCTTGGAAGAAGAGTAAGAACATCCAGGACAAGAAAGGGCTGGAGGGCATGCCAGGCAGCAGAAACAACACCTGCAGTGGCTCAGGGTCAGAGGGACCCTGGCATGTTCCAGAAGCAGGAAAAAGTGAATCCTGCCACAGCTGTGATCTTCAGAATGCTGGGAGGCACAACGGGCGTTCAGCAGGCAGGAACTGACTTGGACAGTAGGAGATTGGACCAGATCACAGAGTGTGTTGAATACCCAGCCAAAGGCAGGTCATGGGAACCGGCCAGAGCAGACCTCCCCACGCAGAGCCCAGCATAGCTGGGTGGGTGTAACAGGTACCCAAGAGATGCAATGGGGTCCCAGCCTATGGTTACTTCTGAGCGCTGCTTATGTGGACCACCTGGGATGAAAGGCATACAATGAGTTTGTTAACAAGGTGGCAGTGGTTGGGGACACCTGTGGGTAAAATCGAAAGCTTTCCTCTGTGTACTGGGGACGTGCTCTGCATGGGTACATTCAGGAAGCCCCTCTTTCAAATGTGTTAAGGCAATTATGAGGAACCTTTGAAAGGTGATATATTAAATGCACAGCTGAAGTATTTGTGGCAACCCGTGAGAGGGCAAAGGAAATGGCTGGTGAATAACAAACACATCTTTCTCACACACAGCGAGAGGTAGAGTCAAACTGCCTGAATTTGTATCAGAGATAAGATATCATGCATACTATTTTTTTCAATTTTACACAACTGCTTTGGAATATTCAATATAAAACAAACATATTTCACCTGTCCATTCAGGCATAGTCACCAGGCCCAATGAGCCCCAATGATGAGCATTCAGGTGGGGAAATTACCTATAAACACTTCTCACTGTACACACTTCTCTTCATATGAGCAATGAGAAAGGATGTGGATGGGTGGGTGGGTGGGTGGGTGGATGGATGGATGGATGGGTGGATGTATGGATAAATGGATGGATGGTTGGATGGGAGGGTGGACGGATGGATGTTTGGGTGGGTGGATGTATGGATAAATGTATGTATGTATGTATGTATGTATGGATGGATGGATGGATGGATGGATGGATGATGGGTAGGTGGATGGATGGTGAGATCCAATTGGCAAGGCCAGTTGAAATCTAATCAGAGAATGGGCACTAAGGATGAGCCACAGGCACTTGAACTATGGATATTAATCAGCTTTCACACTGTGACAAAAACCTGAGGTAAACAAGGAAATAAGGTTTATTGGAGCTTGTAACTTTAGAGGTTTAAGTTCATGGTCTCAACCCCGTGGCTTTGGGCTTGTGGCAACAAAGCACATCGTGGCAGAAAGTGCATGGCAGAGGGGTCTGTTTACCTCACGGCAGCCAGGAAGCAAAGATGGAGACAGGAGGGGTTCAAGGCCCCAATAACCCCTTCAGTCCTTCATTAGCTTATCCTCATGACTCCACTTCCTCCCTGCAGGCCCTGCCTTCTAAACCTTCTACCACCTCTAGCAGTACCACAGGCTGGTGACCAAGCCTTTGGAGGCCACTTACCCAAACTATAGCACTGAATTTGAGTCTAGGCTCTGCCAGTACTCAGAGAAACTACATCACTTGGTTCTTTGTCAAGGTTGAATGGAGACGATCTCTCATTCCGGGGACAGCCATTAGGATTCGAGGATGTTTATCTGCTATGAGCAACATCACACAGGCCAGGCCTGGTACACAGTGCAGAGTCATCACAGTGTACGATCTATCACTCTCTTCACTGTCCCCATATATGAACAGGAAGACAGTGAAGTGGATCCTGGGAAGACTAACAAAGAAAGAATAACAACTGGTCACCTGTCCTTCCCTGGCACCTGGAACATTCCAGCATGTCCAAAGCCCCCAGAGAAGAGATTGTTTGAAGAAAACTAGAGGGAAGGAGAGAAGGAGGAAGGGAGGGAATGAGGGAGGGAGGGAGGGAAGAAGAGGGAGGGAAGGATGGGATTTCTAATTATATTGAGAGCTGTTTCACCCAGCTTTGAAGAGTCTCCCAAATATTAACTTGAATATCAGCCCAATGCCAAAATGCCTACAGCCAGCTGTCAAAGAATTGAAGAGAAAATTATTATCAGAAATAGGGAGTCTCAAAAAAAAAGTCTATCCTTTTTGCTTCCCCTCCAAAGTTAATTAAGTGTGGTGGTAAGACCCGCACTGTTTGGTCTCTTCATGTAATGAAGGGCTCCTCCAGAAATAATAGCCAGAGGATCAGCTCACAGAGCTGAGAGACTCAGCTCACAGGGCTGAGAGGCTGAGGCAGCTGGAGCAGCAGAGGGTGTTGGGAACCCTGCTCCAGCACAGCCATTCCGACCAGAGGGGGCATTTGTATTCAGACTGCAGAGAGCTCCAGGCAAGAGCTGGAGAGGAGAGGCAGGATTTATTATGTCCCTTGGTGATCCGCTTGCTTCCAAGAGGGTTCCTCTGGCTGTCATTTAGATTTCCACAGTCTCAATCCTTAGGAGAGCCTGCTGGCTGCTCTCCCAAAACAAAACAAAACAAAAAAGAGGGGCTTGTGTAAAAGGGGTCGCCATGAAACAAGACCTGACCTTGTTTCTCATCAACTGGAAGCACAGGCTGTCACCACTGGAAGGGATGTGTGCAGGTGACTTGGTATCTGGGTGTTGTGAGTACAGCTATTGACTGAGTAGTCTTTGTGGGAGGGGGGAGAAGGAGGGAAGGAGAAGGGGAGGGGGAAGGGAGGAAGGGAGGAGGGAAGAGGGAGGGAGGGAGGGAGGGAGGGAGGAAGGGAGGGAGGAAGGAGGGAGGGAGGGAGGAGAGAAGGGAGGAAAGCAAAATGGAGGGCAGAGAACACACTGAAATGCCTGAGAAGGTGGTAGAGTGGTAGGAAAACCACTTCCAGCCAGACCGTGGACTGTTAAAGCCTTTAGGGTCAAGTGATCTGTGTGCTGGCTGACCTGGAAGTGGAAGAGTGTACACTGCTAAATACAAACCAGTAAGACTTGGGCATGAGTGTTGAACACTGAGCAAGGATAGAGTGGACAGATCATGGAGACTGCATGTCTAGCCTTCTGCCTGCTTTTGCACAGGAGACAGGATGCTTTGAAATCACTTGGGGTGGGGAAATCAAGATGATGTTGTTGCAGATGAAAGCAGCATGAAATTCACAGTTCCTTGTCCATCACAAAGCTTGACTGGACCACAGTCCACGCCTTCTTTGGCACATGGTCCTCTGCGGCTGCTCTTTTGCTACAGTGGCAGAGGCGTCAGTTCAGCAGACATCCTGCAGGCTGGGCAAAGAAAAGAATACAAGCTTCCTGGTTCTTCCCTCCGAAAACATTACTGGTCCCCGGTTTAGAGTGCTCCCCACACTTAATAAGAGTAAGTTTAAGCCATTACTTGATCCAATCAATGTATCTTTTCATCGACAGATAACAAAGGCTGCTGGTGGGGCCAAGTACCAGCAGCCAGCTGGGAGAGAATGAGAGCAGTCCTATCCTAGAACCCCTCCCCCTTTCATTTATTTTCTTCTCAGGGTATTCTAGCCCTTACATCCTGGTACCCTTCACCACCCCATCACATGCCCTGACCAGCTTGGTCCTTCCTAAGGAAGGGTACCTGAAAGAGTTTCATGCCTCCTAGTTTCTCACCAGGTGATGAAGTCTGGAAAGATTCACCTTGGAACTGGCCTTGCTGCTGGTCTAATGATGAAGGGCTAAACCACTCAATCTTTGCATTTTCAGCTCCTGTGACCCCAGAGCGGGCAGCTGATAGTCCTCAATCTTAGGCCATGGATGGAAGCAGGCCCCAGTCATGCAGAAGGACATGACAGCCTATGTGTATGAGCCCTTGCACATAAAGCAAAAGCCATCTCAAGACACAGCCATCAGCGCCTCAGTCTCCATGAGGATCCTAGAAGGCAGACACATACTACAGACCTGGAAGGAAGGTGACGTGGAAGACCAGCTGAGGACTGGGCTTTGAGCCTTGAAGACCCTGTCTTACTTATTCTTATGCCCTGTACTGCACAAGGAACAGCTTGATCTATTCCCACAACATTAGGCTAGTCACTAGACCCTCCCCAACCTTCTTTTGGCTTGGCCAGGAACCCGAAGCCCAGTGGTTGGAGCTGGAAGAGAAGTAACCAAGGCCCAGGGTGAGTGTCGAAGCTACAGGGCCCCAGAATGGAGCCCAATGGCACTATCCATTCCTGTTGCTTAGACTCTACTGTATGGAAAGTCACCATCAGTTTGATCCTCACCACCCTCATCCTCATCACCATTGCTGGCAATGTGGTCGTCTGCCTGGCTGTCAGCCTGAACCGTCGGCTCCGCAGTCTGACCAATTGCTTCATTGTGTCCTTGGCGGCTACTGACCTGCTGCTTGGCCTCCTGGTGCTGCCCTTCTCTGCCATTTACCAGCTCTCTTTCAAGTGGACCTTTGGCCGGGTCTTCTGCAGCATCTACACCAGCCTGGATGTGATGCTGTGCACAGCCTCCATCCTCAACCTCTTCATGATCAGCTTGGACCGCTACTGTGCTGTCACGGACCCACTGAGGTACCCCGTGCTGGTCACCCCAGCTCGTGTTACCATTTCTTTGGTTTTCATTTGGGTCATTTCCATCACCCTATCCTTCCTGTCTATTCACCTGGGGTGGAACAGCAGAAACGAGACCAGGGGAGACAATGACACCTCCAAGTGCAAAGTGCAGGTCAACGAGGTGTACGGGCTGGTGGATGGGCTGGTCACCTTCTACCTGCCTCTTCTCATCATGTGTGTCACCTACTACAGAATCTTTAAGATCGCCAGGGAGCAGGCCAAAAGGATCAATCACATTGGCTCCTGGAAGGCAGCCACCATCAGAGAGCACAAAGCCACTGTGACGTTAGCTGCGGTCATGGGAGCATTCATTATCTGCTGGTTTCCCTACTTCACGACGTTTGTTTATCGTGGGCTGAGAGGGGATGATGCCATCAATGAGGTGGTTGAAGGCATCGTTCTGTGGCTAGGCTACGCCAATTCAGCCCTGAACCCTATCCTGTACGCTGCCTTCAACAGAGACTTCCGCATGGCTTACCAACAGCTCTTCTGCTGCAAGCTTGCCAGCCACAACCCCTACAAATCCTCCCTGAGGCTGAACAGTTCTCTGTTGTCCAGGAACCAAAGCCGAGAAGTCAGATGGCAGGAGGAGAAGCCCCTGAAGCTCCAAGTGTGGAGTGGGAAAGAAATCACACCTCCCCAAGGAACCCCAGACAGGTAAACCTTTGTGTGGCTTGGAGGTGCCGGGAGACACCCCACCCTCTGTGTGGGTGGCACTGAGACCATTCCATGAGCATTTTACAGAAATCATCTCTCATCCTCCAATGGCTCTCTTAGGTAGAACATCTACCTTCAGTTTTAGAAGGCCACATTAAAGGTACCGGAGATCTTATCAAGGGCCACAGAGCTGGGACCTAGACAATGTGTTACTCACCCCAGAGCTCAGAGACCCTTCTTTCTAACTAAATTGCCTTTCCACTCAGGTGACCTAAGTAGAAGGCCCAACTCTGCCACTTAGGCTTTGTGAGTGGTCAGTTAAAAACCCTCAGAGGAATACCCAAAAGCCATGCGCAAATCAGCTCTTCCCTTAGCAGTGTTCAAGTTAGTAGGGGATGAAAACGGCAGAGGTCAGAAGGCGGGGCCTCAGTGGAAACTGAAGTGTGGGCCTTGTGTGTGGAGCATGGAGATAGACAGACACAAGGACTAAGGCTTTGGAAAGACGGGTGTGGTTAGCAGAGCTGAGCCTTGGACAGAAGGCCACAACAGCCCCTTTGATGTGGGCAGGAGAGTGAGCCTGTAGATGTGTAAGAAGGAAGTTGCATTAACCCATGGATGGGGGGAGAGAGAACAGCAAGTCTTGTAGGCTACTTAAAAAAACAAAAAGCCTGCAGAACATTGGGTGTCCAGAGTGCAAGCAATAGCAGGACAGGGCGCGGAGCACAGCGACAAAATTCCACCTCTGAGAGGTGTTCAAGCTGGGAAGAGAAAAGAATCAAAATGAAATTTCAGTAAATTCCCTGGGGACAAAGTCACGGCAGGGCACTGAGGGAATCCATGGCACTTTCCTGGGAGGCACTCAATAAGGTCTCTGTGTACAGAGCCCTGTGGCACCGTCCTGGGACACACTCAGAAAGCTCACCGTGTGCAGGCTCCACGGCAGTGCCCTGGGACACACTGAGGTCATTTGCTGTATGCAAAGCCAGCTCCTCCATGAGTCATGAACAGAGGATTGAAAAACACCTAACAGACAAGTTGCTACTTAATGTGGCTTTTCTCTCTCTTTCCCCAGACCATACCTCTGCCCCTACAGTGCTGGTCTGTGGAACAGACCCATCCGTTCACTCATTAGTTCATCCATTCATTCGCAAGTCCCTGTGATAGGTTCTGAGTTCTGAGGAGCAACTGTGAGGGCTGAACTGCCTCATTACATTCCCGGCCTTCATCCCTTCTGTCCTCACAGGTGTCGTGTGGAGGGTCCTCCCATAGATGTCACACCTGTCCCCTCCCCTCTGTATCATTGAAAATCCCATTGCCCCTGCTCCTGAACTCCTCTCTCTGGTGTCGATCCTGTCATCTGGGCCTCCGGACTCCCCCTCTCAAGTCCACCCTCAGCACCAGCCCAAGGTCACCCTGCGCGTGGAGACTCCCTTGTCCCAGCCTGATAGGTGAAATTCTCCCCTCAGTCACATCATTCTCCCTCTTCCATCCAGGGGGGCCACAGAGCTGATTTAGTTCAAGGTGGAGGAAAAACAAAGATGCGGGGTTACAGACTAGACAGAAGAAAGTAGCCACCGTTTGGCTAGTGTATCACCTTGAATCCATCATCCCTGCTCGCTCTTTAGCTAATATTCACCTGTTGACCCTGTTCCTTAAACATTCTCTCAGTTCATGCTTGGCAAAAATGGCTGGGTCACACGGGGCTCCCTCCACTTGCTCTCTACAGAGACCAAAGGAGGGCAACCGATGCCCTGGAGCTAGCTATAGACAGTTGTGGGCCACCTGACACGGATGTTGGGAATCAGCCTAGGTTTTCTGCAAGAGCAGCACACTCTCGAGACAGCTCTCTAGCTCCTAATCTTCACTTCACAGACGGGCAACCGAGGCTCAGAGTCCAGCAGGTTCCCCCAAGCAACACCAGCTGGGAGTTCCTAGCTGCTCCGCTAATGAGTACTTTCTGGACGCTGGGCACCTGGCAGGTCTGGATGTCCACATTTTCTTCTGTCCCCAGAGTCACCCTGGGGAAAGCCAAGGACAGTTAAGAGGCGGTGCTTGCCTGGCTCGATCATAGCTGTGGCAGTGAGTCCAGAGCTCAGGTCCTAGAGAGCTCAATTGTCATCTATCTTCGGCCTCTAGGAACGCAGACAGGCTTGGTGGGGGAGGGGGTGGCAGAGGAGCCCACACACTTTAGAACTGCAGCAGACTAAGAACAGACAGCCGCTGGTTTTCTCTGCGCTGCCTGAGTGACTGTGACCTTGAGCATCCCTCAGGAAGGTCAGCTCCCTGCTTTCCTGCTGACTGGCAGTTTGTCCTTTCTGTCTGAGGGCAGGAACAGAACTTACCCAGTGCCTTTAACTCTACTCCTGAAGGGGACCGACCTAGATTATCCTGAGTGAAGCCCGTGAAGACCTCAGGAGAGAGGTTAGCCAAGCGGCTGCTCCTACTTTCTCTGTGCCCGGGTAGCCAGTTCCCAGTTTGAGGCTCTGTCTGCCCCTTCCTCAGCCCTGCTGTGGGAGCACCTCACCAGCCTGACTGCATCACTACAAGTGAGCTTTTACCAAGTGTTTGCCAAGGCCTTTGTTAGCTGCCTGAGCTGTCGGTACATAGCAGTGAACAGAACACAGACCCCGTTCTCAGGTGAGCAGTACTTCTCACAGAGCGGTCCCGAGCCACTAGCAGCTGCCCAGAGACAAGCCGACCGGCGGCAGGCTACAGCTGCTTCAAATGTGGTAGAACTAAGATTCCCATCCATAGCTGTCTGTCCTCCAAGCCTGGCCTCTGGCCACCAACAAACACCTGGACTTGAACCTGCCTCTGCTTTTGACAAATACCCCAGACGCGGTCCTGTAGACACGGGAAGGGGAAGCTGAGGCATTGGAAGGCTTTGACCTATCTGTAAAGCAGAGCAGGTGGAGAGGCTGGACCCTTTGGGTCTTATCCCCTCACTCCCATAATCTTTCTCCCATAATCTCTGGGGAGATAAGGCTCCCAGGCGGGCACCTAGCCTATCAGTACCTGAGTGTGCAGTTCCTCATTCCAGCAGAGCCCCTGCGTTTCTGCTCCTGACTCGACAATGACCAGGTGCCTCAAGGGCTGGAGTATGAACCAGGTGCTTTTTCCTTCACCTTTCAACACCCCCCTTGCCAGGGAGCCAGAGTGTCCTCCAGTTCCTGAGTTTGCCTTCCTTACCTCCAAAACCACACAAGACCTTTCTAAAAATGTCTGGATAATGGTCCAACCCTTCTGTTGGGAATGGAAGTCACGGCTTACCCAGCCACCAAAGCGCTGTACTGCTTGGAACCTACAGTTGCACTGATCTCCTCTTGTGTACACGGTTGACATCTCCCAGGCTACAAGACATTGTGCCACCTTCAACTAGTGCTATATTTGCTCCCCTACACCGTAAGTTCCCTGAGGCTAGGCCCTGCCCCTGTCACTCATTGCTGGATTCCCCGACAGCCAGCCTTGCGCCTGGCATGCTGGCAGATGTCCAGATAACTTATTGTCCTAGGTCTATGCAAACCCTGAGAAGTGATGAACGTTAGTTACTCCGTTGTAGACATCAGGAAACCCAGCCTCAAAGAGGGTACTGTGGGAGCCTAGGAAAACTCAAAGAGAGCTTGTTCCCTTTTCTTATACATCAGGTCCTAGGGGGCCCTCCCTGGAGCCTTGACACCAGGGCCAGATCTCACAGCAGTATCCAGGCCCATCTCTGAGTCATAACGCCTCAGATGGGAAGCTTTTCCAGACCCACCCACCCCCACCCGCTCCCATAGATGACCCTGGAAGAGAGAAGGCACGTGACAGTAGCAGAACATGTATCTCTAGCCAGGATAGCCTTCCATAGAGCCAAGCACAGCATGACCTTACTATGGGGCGGGGCTGCTTGGTTTCCTGTAAGTTCATTCTCTGGAGATGGGCCGCAAGATCTGTGGACATGCCAGAGCGTCATGTCTGACAGACACTTCCCCACAGGGGCTGTTACTAAGAGGAGTTTTGTGCATCGCCCTAAACTTGTTAGCTGGTTCAAGAGCCCAAATGCATTTATTTCCATCTTCTGACTCTCCAACAAGGCCTAGATTTTTTGGAATGTTGATTCCATCATTTCTTAACGGCCCCTCCGCAAATATTAAAAGACAGTGACTCTCCCTGTCCCTGGGGTCCTGTTGGCTGCCTTGTATAGGTCAGGTCTCCCTCTCTGCCCTGATGTCAGCTGCTGGAGGTCAGGTAGACTCAGTATGAGTCATGGTGCCTCTACTCGCTGGTCGGTGACAATCTGAGGTCCACTTTCCAGTCTATAAAGTGGTGACAAGTCTCACTGTCTTTTAAAGGTGCAGGCCCTTAGCATCCCTGGCATATGGCATGTGTGTGAACAAGGGGGGTTCTTTACTTCCTCATCCATGTCTTCCTCTTCCCTGTCTACGTCTCATCATTTCCTCTTTCTTTCACAGTTTCTCCCTCTCAGTCCAGAGACTGTCAACCCACCCATTCAAAGTGCACACACTAGTGTTTTCCAGAACCTTCACAGAAGAGTGTGACCAATGTCATGGCCAATTTTGGAGCACTTGTCCTCCCCCAAGGGAACCCTATTCCCTACTGTTGTCACTCCCAGTTCCCACAGCCCATTCCTGCATCCTCTAACTCAAAGGAAGTGCCCTGTCTATGTAGCTTTCCTGATCCTGGATATTTTGTGCCCGGTTTCTTTCACTTAACAAGATATTTCCAAAAAATCCACCTTCCCTGTGTCTGGTCTTCCTTTATCCATTCTTTTTGTCTTTGCTTTCCTCTCCTTCCTTCCTTCTAAGGCCCATTCATCTTTCACCAGGAACGGTGGTGGAGGCACAAGGAAGTTCTGTGGGTCTTTGGACACAGATAGCTCTCCATGGGCTCAGCTGAAGACCCAGTGTAAGGTTGTGTCTGGGACCTAACCGGCTCAGATCCTACCCTCCTCTTTACACCCCTCCAGGTGGCCTCAAATGCCTAGATACTACAAACCTGCT